GCACCTTTCTGCACAATTTTGTGGTACGCGGGCCTCACCATACTCTCCAGCCTACTTTCGTGGAAGGGGGAATCAAAGCCCAACAGCTCCACCTGCAGGGGGACGGGGCGAGCACTGTAATGAAAGTTGAACGTGGCGTGGCTCTTTGCCCCTATCCATTCGCTGATGTCGCGCGCGTTCGCAATGGTGGATCCCAGTCCAACTATGCGCAGAGGATTCTCTGTCTGCTTGCTGATGTACCTCATCCTCGAAGTTATCACTTCGATGCAGGGGCCGATTGGACTTGCCACCAGATGAATGCCGTCAACAATGAACAGGTTTACTGCTTGCACACTCTTCCTGTGCCGCCAGCGTCTCGAGATCATGTCCCAGTTCTGCGGAGTGGACAGTATGACGTTGCTCCCTTGAAGGATTTTCAGGTCGAGAGCCGTTTCCCCCGACAGAGCCATCACTCTGGCGCCAAGGGTTGACTGGATGATCTCCTGCCACTTCTCCAACTGATACTTCACCACTGCCTCGTAAGGGGCGATGTAAACGCACTTCAGGGCATCGACGCCGTTCCTGGCGATCGCTTCGAAGATTGCAAATTCTGCGCAAACATCAAGACCGCTACCGACCGGCGCGCACACAATAACATTATCGCTACTTCTGAACAGCTGCGGGAAGACCTGCGTCTGTATCGGATTGAATGCAGACACGCCTTTGTAGATGCCTTCAAGCTCCTTGTTTCTCAATTCATTCACAGGCAGTGGCTGGAGATCAAGCAGCTCAGTTGGCGGCGCACATTTCTGCGGCAGTATCAAATGCCGGAACGAAATGGGCAAGGATGTCTCACTTCCAAGCCACTTGTCCGAGATGACTCTCACAAAATACTGCGGAGGGATGGGGTCTGTCATCATGATGGTGAAGGAAACGCTATGTTCCACGTTGCTCATGCCCTTTCTCAGCAAAAAGGTTTCCGAGTGAAGAATCATCTCCGAGTCAGAGTCTTCCACAATGATCCAAAAGGACTCGACAAACCCGTGGCTGCTGTCCTCCCAAGCGAAGTCAGGTGTCAGGGTCAGATCAATCTTGATCAAAGACCGAGTCAAAGGGAGGAGCTGGGCCGCGATTTCCAGCCTAGGGAAGTGGTGCACAAGTTTGTGCAACGCCTTTCCCAGCTTTGGGTTTCTGACATGCTCACCCAGCTGCTGGGGAGTAAGGTCGTAATACCTTTCCCAGGGAATGTCCTTCTGCTCCAATCTGCGGAGTGTGTCCGCTGGAATTCCCTCAAATTGGCGCAGAGGCGTTTGGTTCAGCCACATTCTCCTACTGATCATCTTGCACATGTTCAAGGCCTTGTACGTCGCCTGGGCCCAGCCATGCCTCAGAATGATCTCAAAGATGCACCGCATGAGCCTCCCGGCATTTTGAACGACGAAACTCGTGTCAGCAGAGAGCACGTAGCCATCGAGTGGCAGTCTTGATATGAATGCCTGCAACAGAACGTTGACTTTGGCTGTTGGGTCCTCGATGTTCTCTTTCACTGGAATGGGGACCCTCTCCAGCAGCTTTGCGAGCTCCAGCTTGTCCTCCTCCCTCACCACAATGTTCTTGAACTCCTCTGACAGGCAGAAGATGTTACAGAGCTCCATCTCCCCCACATTGGGCTTGAGGTACCTGTTGTACGTGGACATAGTCGTGTTGGACACATAAAACGTGCTTGCAATCTTTCCCAGATCAGTGCCCTGGAAGATCCCATTCCTGCGATCGTACTTGATAAGGCCGTGCTTTTCTAAAAGTATGGCAGCGCTGTGGATCAGATTACCCCTGTGCTGTTGCAGCAGAGGGTCCCTCTCCAGCTCATCGACGCTTATGCTGTACAGAATGGGGTTGCGCAGCATTCTGATGAAGAGATAGGTGTAGCCCAACCAAGTGGTCGCGTCCGACACGTTTTTCACCATTCCAGAAACAATTTCCGCGTTCAAGCTATCCGCGAGCTGCTTGACAAACTGACTCTCTATTGGAAGCTGCTGGTTGAACAGGCTCAGGTAATACTGCAGCTCGTTGTATGAAGTGATGATGATGCCGACCCCGAACTGGTCGAATTGGGGTCTACCGGCACGGCCAAGCATCTGCATCACGTCCAGCTGGCTAAGCTCATCCCACCTGGCAAGGGTTGGGTTGTAGACCTCTGTCCCCTTGATCACGACGGTGTGCGCTGGCAGATTCACACCCCAAGCCAACGTCGCCGTCGAGACCAGGACCTGCAGGTGGCCGTCTGAGAAGAGATCCTCCACCAAAGTCCTGTCCGAGCGCCCGAGACCCGCGTGGTGGACGCCGATGCCGTAAGGCAGCAGCTCCGCGAGGTCTGGATTCTTGCATGAGCTGACCTCTGCATTCAAAATCTCTTTCGACGCCGAAGTCTCAGGAACAAGCTTGCTGATCGTGTCGTCCGCAATGGCTTGATCCCTGAGAAACCTTGCCGTCTTCACCGTCTCCTTCCTGCTGTGGACAAAGACAAGGACCTGGTGCTTTCCGGCGTCGCCCTTCACTTTGTCATAGCACAGCTGGTTCATGAGCTGCAGGCGCTGCAGGGGCTTCCTGACGATGACGCCAACAAAGTGCTGCTCTAGCGGGCAGGGCCTGAAGGAGTTGTCGAACACAAAGAGGCCCTTGTCCAGCTCCACCCTGAGAAACATGGCGACGTCCTGGTAGTTAGGTAGCGTGGCCGAGAGGCCCACCAGCCTCGTCATCTCGTGCGTGGACTCCACCTGCTGGATTGTTCTGGCAACCACGGACTCCAAGACCGGGCCCCTGTCGTCGTGCAGGAGGTGGACCTCATCAATGATGATCAGCTTCACCAATTGGGTGAAGCTCCTGTTTCTCGTCTTCCTCGTGACGATGTCCCACTTCTCAGGCGTGGACACGATGATGTCGGTGTTCTCCAGCTGGTAGCGGGTCAGGCCCATGTCACCCGTGAGCTCGCTGACCTTGAGCCCGTACTTCTCGAACCTCTTTTGAAAATTCCCCACCATCTCGGCCACCAGCGCTTTCATGGGCGCGATGTAGACAATCTTGAACTTTCCTCTGTCAAGACTGCCGTCCGGCCTGACGTGCAAGCCGACTTCGTGAAGCATGGTCAGGACGGCCACGTTAGTCTTTCCGGCCCCCGTGGGGGCGCACACAAGCATGTTGTCAGAGCTGTAGAGCGCGCAGGGGCACACCCTGCTCTGGATTCTGTTCAAGCTCGTCATCCCAGCGAACGCGAGGTGGCTCCACTCGGGCAGGTCCTGTATTTTCACGAGCTTCTCCTCCTCCTCGAAGGGCTTGGCCTTGAGGGGGGGCACGTAGACCTCCTCGTAGTCCTTCGTCGAGGACCTGTAGCTCCCCTCCGGCAGCTGGCAGCTCTTGTTGACCATAAGCCTGGACCCGTGCTGGAACATGATGTCCTGGAGGTCGACGTGCTTGTACTGCTTGCCGTGAGCGGGCGGGAACTCTGCCCCTTCGCCCCCGCCGTCGTCGCCGCCCCGGATGGCCCTCGCCTCCGCCCGAACTCGCTTCTCCATCTCGGATTCCTTGTCCTTGCCGCTGGTCTTCGAGGCCTTGAGCAGCGAGAGGATCTCCGCCAGGTGGGGCTCCGAGGACATCTCCCCCTCTATCTCCGCCCTCTCCTCCTCCCTCTGCGCCCTCGCGAGCTTGGTGCACCAGACGATCTGCCACCTGTTGGCCAGCAGGAGCTTCACCACCTCAAAGTGGGCGTACTCGAAGATGGGCACGAGGTCGTTCTCCACGTCCCTCTCGCTGCTCGCCTTGTCCTCCAGGATTGCGAGAACCTGGGAGGACTTGTCGTGCGCCTCCTCGGGGGACAGGTCGGTCAGGGCCTTGGACAGCGTCCTCTGCAGCCAGTACGCGTCGATGGACGCGACCTCGAGCGAGGCGGAGGAGGACGGAGCGGCGGTGTCCCGGCGACGACGGGGGCGCACGTCGTCGTCGCCCCCGGAACCCGCGTCCTCGTCGCCCATGTCGCCCATGTCGCTCGTGGACTCCGTCTCGCTCTCGTCGCCCTCGCCCATGCCCTGGTCCCCGTCCCCGTCCGACTCCTCGAACTCCACGGCCACGCCGATGTTCTCGTCCAGGCCGGGGTCGCCCCCGGCCCCCGCGTTGTTGTCCTCCTCCCCAAAGTCGTGCAGCAGCTTGCTCAGCGCGTTCAGCTGGGTGAATTTGGCCGACAGAAGCTGGTCCTCCGACTGGCCGAGCACCGCGGCGACATCCTTCCTCTTCTCCTCGTCCGTCCTCCCCTTGGCCCTGAGGCTGGCCAGGATCTCATCCGCAGCGAAGCGGATCACGTCCTGCGGCTGGTCGCCGTAGTCCTCCCGAATGATGCTCAGGAGCGTCTCGTACGCCCTCCTCGTCTCCGCGCTCCTCGGCCTGTAGCACCCGTCCAGGTGGTGGTCCAACGCGCCCAGCACTCCAGCAGCAGTTCGCGAGGACGACGCCTTGCCAGTTCGCGAGGACGACGACGCCCCGCCGCCTCCGCGCTTCCTCTTGCCCCCCCTCGCCTCGTACACCACCTTCCCCTTCTCCGGCTTGGCGTGCCCGACCCTGTCGCCGAACCCCTTGGGATCGAGCTTCCCCCACAACGACACCGCCTCGCCGGTGGGCTCCTTGGCCTGCCTGTGCCGGGAGGACGAAGAAGAGAGCACCAGGGAAGCGTTCTGCGCGTACGAGTACTGCTTGTAATCCGGACGCCTAGGCTTCGAGGAGGACCCGAAAGGGGAGGACGAAGGGTCCTCCTGCTGCTGCTGAACCATATTATGTTCTTGTTCTCTTGTTCGGCTGCGTAGAGCAAGAGACCGCCGATCGACCGATCGCTCTTGCCTCGCTTCGCCTTCGCCGCCGAGCGAGCGGGGTTGGTTCGGGGGCGAAGGAAAGGTACATATTGGTAAATTCTTTGAAGAAATGTTGTTCTTCGGCAAAGAAATGCTGGTGAAATGTCGGAGGTTCGACCCCCCGATTACGCGCTATTAGCTCAGTAGAAAGAGTATCTGTTTCCGGCTCGCGTCCCTTGATGCGGAGAGGAGTACGCAGGTGGTCGCGGGTGCAAATCCCGTATAGCGCTTGCCCCCTTTTTTTTGTCCTCTCCACCTCCTCCTCCTCTCCTCCTCGTCCTCTCCTCCTCTCTCTCTCTCTCTGTCTGTCTCTCTGTCGAAAGCATCGCGCCGCACGAAGAGACGGCCTCAGATCCCCAGCGCAAAGCAAAGTATACCCCCTTGGCTCCTCAACCTCCTGATCGCACTTTGATCGATCACACGAGCAAGAAGACTGAGGTCAGCTCGATTGGACCGGCACTTGATCGAAGAGTTTGTAAGTTCGCAAGTCTGCAGGGAGTCGCGGCTCATCTAGCAGAGGGGTGTCCCCTTTGGACGACGACGTCGCAACTTCCTGGAACTCGGAGGAAGTTCCGGTCCTTGCCAGTGTCCTCTTCTTTGGTTGGTGTTGACGATCAGGCATGAGAGAGAGAGAGAGAGAGAGAGAGAGAGAGAGCTGTGTTCGATGCAATCTGGCTTGATGTGTTTCATGTTCATGATGCGATGAATCAACCGATAGTATCGGTCCGATGACCTTTCGCCAGAGCATCGCCATCGCACGTCTCCCGATGAATTGTCGATCGGGACAATTCCGGCGAGGCTGAGAGAGCGCGCGCGCGAGGCACCAGCGCAGACGGCGACGGACAACGGACGACGGACAGCAACTACGACGGACGACGACGGATGGGGAGGTCGAAGAAGTCCTCCACCACCTCCAACGATGAGGCCGCCGCTCATTCCTCCGAGGTTTCGGACGAGGTTTGGGTGAAACGCGTCGTGGCCCTGTTGAAGGAGGCGGAAGGAGAAGGGTTGCAGAGTTCGGAGTTGGAACGGAAGCTCCAGGAGGAGCACGGGTACTTGGGTGACCACGAGTTTATCGTGAACGTGTTGGCGAGGGTGGTGAACCACTTGCTGGCGGAGCACAAGATTCAGCTCCTGGAGGGCGGCGCCGCGGATGGTTCCGGGAAGAGGAAAGTGTTTTACAAGCTGAACAGGCAGGAGGAGCAGAGGAAGCTCAAGGGGTTGGGGAGGGAGGACCTGCTGGTGTACCAGATCATCCAAAGTTCGAGCGATATGGGGATCTGGACCAAGGACTTGAAGATGAAGGCCGGGCTGCAGCAGCCGCAGGTCGCGAAGATCCTCAAGTTCCTCGAGCAGAGGAAGCTGATCAAGTCGATCAAGTGGGTGACGAACAGGAACAGGAAGGTGTACATGGCGTTTGACGTCCAGCCCAGCAAGGAGATCACGGGGGGGGCCTGGTACACGAACAACGAGCTGGACGAGGAGATGATAGGGGTGGCGAGCAGGGTGTGCCTCAAGAGCGTCCGGGAGAAGGGGGGCAGGGTCAGCTTTCGCGAGGTCGCGGCAGAAGTGAAGAAAAGCGAGTTGTTCCACACGGCCCTGGACGAGGACGAGGTCAGGAGCATCCTGAAGCTCCTGGTGTACGACGGCAAGCTGGAGCAGTGCGACGAGGGGTGCAGTGACCGCGGGGTGTACTTCAAGCTCTCCAAGGTGAAGCCCCCCGCGAGCCTGCCGGAGCACCTCGTGCCCTTCCTGCAGATGGGCTGGTACTTCAGGAGCGGGGAGAAGAGGAGGTTCGTGGAGAGGGGCGACATGGGGAGCGAAGCAGCGGCCAAGGCCGAAAGCGGCCCCAAGAACCAGAGGCTGGGCATGGACCAGGGCGGGGGAGGGTCCAGGGAAAGCGAGGAGACCGTGGCGGATGGCGAGTACTTGTTCTTCAAGGGAACCTGACACGAAAAGAGAGAGAGCTGCTTGCTCGCTCTGCTTGCTCGCTCTGCTTGCTTGCTCGCTTTCGCATGTACGAATAGTAGAGTAGTAATAATATCAATAATCCTAAAACACCTTTAAAAACTCCCAAATAACAGTAATCAAGAGAGAGAGGGATTTCTCGAAGGATGTGATCCTCCACAAGCACGTTCGTCGTCGTCAACTATTATCTTATAACTCCTCTTTTCACAAATTAATTATTATTCTCTCATGTTTTACTCTAGTAGGAAGCCTTCGTCCCTCTCCCAAGCTAGCTAGTCCTTGTTGTCCAGCAGGAACCTGACGTAGATACCCATGAACTTGTTGATTTCCTCGCCCTGCTTGGTGAGCATCGTCCAATGGTTCTCTCCCTGCGTGGTGAAGTTGAACTTCTTGCTGCTTCGGCTCCACCTCATGATGGAAACGTAAGGGAAGCTCACCACGAGGGACCTCGTCTTCCTGTCGATGACGTGCAGGCCCGTGCTGTTCACGCCCAGGATGTACGCGTAGTCCGTCTCCTCCCTGATCATGCTCACCTCGAAGAACGTGCAGCCGTAAAGCGGGTTCTCCTGAGACTTCGTGATGTACTCCTCCATGCACTCGTTGATGCTCTTCTTCGTGTCCTCTATCTCGGCAGCCCTGTTCAGGATGTCTGCCTCCCACTTGTTGGTGACCTCCGCGTTGTCGCCGTACCTCATCAGTTGGGAGTCCGGCATGTACTCGTGGAGGTTCTCGCTCAAGAATCCACGGGTGTGGGTCACGGAGTTGATGGTTCCCTCCTTGACCTTGAGCTGCAAGGCAGCGAGCTCAATCGCATCGTTCTCGTCGTACTCGAAGAACATTAGGTTCGCCCTCACGGTCTGGCTGTACTCGACCGCCAGCAGCTTTGGGTCGCTGAGGTCGTCCCTGCCCTTGAGGCAGATCACCCTGTAGAAAGCGAGCCTGTATGGCCCCAAGTCCGCCACGTTGTCCCTCTCCGAGAACACGTTGTAGAAGTCCAGCCTGTCTGGGGTGGTGTAGGCCTTGACGAGGGAGAAGAACTGGATGCCCTTCTGGATAGCCACCGTGGTGGCGACCTTGAGGAAGACATCCTTGGCGTTCGAGGTCTTCACAGAAGCAGTGAGGACGGACCTGTCTGGCATATGTACAGAGAAGTCAGCCCCGGTCTTGACCTTCTCGATTCCGGATTTGAGCTGGAGAATGGCCGTGGAAATGCCGTCCATCCACTTCTCCTTCTCCGTCTCGTGGTCGCACGCAAGCTTCGTGCTGCGGCCCCTGATGTTCACCTGGAAAAAGTGGTTGCCCACCCCAGTGGGGAGGTTCTTGTGGTAGCTCTCTGGGATCTCAGAAACAGAGGACGAGGTCTCGAGCTGGAAGTCTCCCTTCTTGTCCTTGAGGGAATCGTCCTTGTAGTAGACAATCCTGTCCTTTTTCATCACGAAGAATCTCTTCTGCCAGTTGTTGAATCTGCCTGTGGTGAACCCCTTGGAACCCTCCTTCGCGAGCCAGCCCTTGATCATGACAGGCTCCATAGAGATGCCAGGGCTCTCGTTGTCGACCTTGTTCCTGTGGTTGGTCGCCATGGGGGTGTACCCGAGGACCATGACCCTGTCCTTGATGTTGAGGAAGGTGCACTGCGCTCCATCGGACCTGTTCGTGTTGAGCTTCTTGAGGGCATCGTTCTGCTGCGTAGTGGACCTCTCCCTTCCTTCATCTTCCCCAGTGGACTGCTCCTCCTGGTCGTACTGCTGGAGTCTCTTGGCTGCCTCAGCCTCCTCCCTCTTTCTCTTTTCCTCCTCCTCCCTCTTCCTCGCTTCCTCCTCTGCCTTTCTCTTGGCTTCCTCCTTGAGCTTCTGGAACTTCCTCCTCGCGAACTCGCGCCTCCAGTACCTCTGGATCACAAGAACGGAGCTCAGCAGGAATTGCTCCCTGGCCTTCTCCAGCTGTAGCAGGATGGCCTCCCTCTTCAAAAACACTTTGGTGATACCCATGGCGACCACCTTGGTGTCGCTCACGTCGATGTTGGACTTGGACAAGATTTCAGACGCAGCCGCTTTGCCCTCGCCGCTGACTTTGCCGACCAGAATCGCGAACCTCTTGGCGAAGTCGGTGTAGTCCATCCTGACCGCATAACCGGCCAGACGGACCTTGATCGTCTCCAGGACTCCAGAGTAACCGAGCTGGCGGTTCATGTTCGCGCCATCGAAGATGCCTGGCATTTTCTTCTCCGTCGACTTCAAGCAACGGACGTAGTGAGGTGTGGTACTATTGATGACGGAGACCAAGGTCTGCAAGGACTCCTTGAACTTGTTGGCCACTGTTGCGACCTTCTTCCTGCGCCCTCTGGCCCCCGCGGCGGCATCCCCTCCGTCCTCCTTCTTGTGGATGATGGACTTGATCTCAGGCATCTTGGTGCTGTCCATCAAGCTCCTGATGTCGTCGTTCACCGCATCTCTGTTCTTCTCCAAGAACCCTTCGGTCTCGTACTTGACTGGGTTGGCATAGTGACTGATGGAGAACTCCGTTCTGGACCTTTTCTCCACAATGAAGTACTTGTGCTTGTTGTAGGCCTGAATGGTGTTGTTGAGGAACTCCGAATCCGAGCCTCTTGCCCCAAGCTGGCACTGCTCCTGAAGGATTCCAAGGATACCGGTGCCCTTCTTCTCGATGAGCTCGACGCAGTCCTTGTTGTCCTCGTACTCGATGGTGATTCCAAGCTTCTCCTTGTCGTACTCCTCCATCTCCAGCGCGAACACGTAGTGGATGAACTGCTGATGGAGCTTCTCATTCGCAAAGTTAATGCACAGCTGCTCGAAGGAGTTGACGGGCATGACCTCGAACCCGAAGATATCCAGAACTCCAATAGAGAAGGCAGGTGGCTTCTCCGCCTTCATGTTGTCCGACACCTTCTTGACGATCCAGCTGAAAAGCGTGAGGTACATGTGCTTCGCTAACGCGTCCCTCGCGGCCTCGGCCTCCTTCTTTTTCAGCTTGATCTTGTACACAGACCCCCTGCCTCCGGTGGACATGGTTCTCTGGGTAAGCGAGTGAGAGAGCTGACTCTCGCTGAAGTCCATGAGGTTGGACACGGCCTTGATCGAGGCGGCGCAGTCCGCGCTCAAGTTGCAAGGGTCATCGTCCTCTGGGGACTCGAACTTTGCGTTTCCCAGATGCAAAATCGCAGACAGAATTCTCTTGATGGCATCGACCTCCATGTTTGTCATCTTGCAATCCTTGAAGGCCTGCTGGACAGCGTTGTACTCCT